GGGGTGAGTGAACAGGGAAGAATTTTGTAACTGCACATATCTTCCATCAGAGTTTTAAGTTATTTCCAAACATTTTTTTAATACAGCCGTTCTACTTCATTCAAGGAAATTTATGGGGATTCCAGATGATATCATCTTCCACATTTAACTCATCTATTTTGCTACATCCTCTAATGTCTTTTTTTCTTGACATAAAAATATGTTAAGGTGGGGAAAAATAGGATAGTTGTACAATGTTAGCACCAGGAGCTGCCGGTCTGTCCATTTTTTAAAACCTAATTTGTACTACAGATGAATCAGACATTCTGTGCTCAGGAAGCAGGGAGTCAAATGTACGTTGGAGTAAGTGGGTGAGGTTCATTGGTGTAAGGGGCAGCCTTCTGCCCTTGTAGCTTCAGAAACATGGTAAATGGGCAGATTTGAAAATAAGCTTCAAGAAGCATCATATGATAATAGAATCATGAAGTTGGAAGGGGCCTACAAGGCCATCTAGTCCAACCCCCCCTTCTTACTGCATGAATACAATCTGCCAGGTGGTTGTCTAAGTTTCTCTTGAATGTCTCCAGTTTTGGAGCACTCTCAGCCTCTCAAGGTAATTGATTCCACTGCCATATTGCTCTAACAGTTAGGAAGTTTTCTCTGATATTCAAGCAAAATCTGACTTCCTGTTACTTGAACCCATTGTTGTGTGTCCTGCACACTGGGATGATCGAGAAGAGATCCTGCCCCTCCTCTGTATGACAGTCTTTCAAGTACTTGAAAAATACTATCATATCTCCCCTCAGTCTTCTTTAGATAGCAGGAAGGTAGCAAAGGGAGCAAAAGTATATAAAACAGAACAATCAGAGGTTTTGAGCGGAAAACACATTTGCTGAATAAATGCAAATGTGGGGCCTTTGGGTATCTTTTCACCATTATGCAGCAGAACCCTTTTTTTTATTTGCTCTCCTCTCTTTCTTTCTTTTCCTAATGAAAAACACCTGAAGAGCAGTCAATCTGACCAAGGCTGTGAAAACTGTGATCAACTGTGAAACACTTTTTAAAAATTTTCTCGCTTATCTCCTGCTGTTTTTCCCAGTCAAAATCCCCACTACCCCAATTGTGTTTGTACTCAAATCTATTTTTCCCTGCAGGACAAACAGCACCCAAGGGAATATTATTTTGATAGGGGAAACTCTGAGAGAGTGGATGATTAAACATGTCCTTCCCCTACTGCACGTGACTTCGTTGTCCCTTCCCCAAGGTTGGATTTCAGTTTTCAAGAAGTGAGTCCATGACCCATTCATGGATATCTCATGTAACAGCTACATATTCAGCCGTGTAGATTGTTTTGAATTTCAGGACTATATCATTTTCTCCTGTGAATTGAGGAAATGCCTTTGATCCTCTCACACTATGAACCATTTTGCAACTATTGTTCTGTTAGATAAGGCACTGAAAAGGGACAATTTTGAAGTCAAATAAGCCTTTCATGCTGTATCCATATGGCAGATCAATCGGAGAAAATGAAAACACAACAAATGGGTTCCAATAAGTGTTACACACTTGGATTGACTGCAGCTACAATAGACGCAGAATTATAGAGAATATTTAGAGAGGAGAAAGCAAAAAAGCAAGGCCAGGGAGCTGACTGTGCTGAGGTGTGTTTGCCTCAAATCAAGAAAAGTTTAGTGTTTGCATGAGAAAATCCCGTCCTTAAATTCATTACAACATAAGTCAAATAGACCATGCAAAAACAGTCAGAATACTCCTTTATCTAAAAAATAAAAAACATATTTTATTATAAAAATCTGTACATTCTCCACTTTTCTTGTAAACAAGGACACATGTGCACAAACACAGCTTTGTGCAGAAGAGGTGTTAAAGGCCAATTTAACAAGTTAACAGTGACACATCAGCAAACGTCTTCACAGGCTTTAAACAGCAGTCAGGCCCTGTCGGACAGAGGAACCACTACAAAGTGCTACAGAAAACACAGCAGTCAAATCCATGATAATTCTTCATGAAAATCCAGCATCCAAAGTCATTCAGTAACTCACGGAGTGACCAGCTCCATTGTGCAGGTAAGTCCTCATATCACTGTAGTAGACAGTTTCTGTGTAAGCAGTATTCAAAGAGGGTGGTTGCATGATATTTCGTCAGCACAGTCTTTGGCCAAAAAATGGACCAAACCCTGGCCCATCTAATATCAGACTCCTCCAGTGGTTGTGGTGCAAGAAGGAAGCTCTAGCAATCAACAACACCTTGGTGTCACGTGGATCGGGCTACGAATGGCAGTGTCACGCTGACCTAGGAAGAAGAAGAAAACATCACTGGTTCTTAGTATGTCCATACCTAGAAGTTACAAGGATGCATCACAAGACTGAGCGCCAGTTTGGACCAGGGACTGATATATGATAATTACTGGCCATACAGACTGTTCCCCTTCCCCACATGAAAAACAAACAAGGCAAGGCTGACTGTGCATGCTGCTTTCTCATAGCAGGGAGCAACTGACACATGCCAATGTCACCACTGTTGCTTAGGAAATCAGGTTCCAAAGAACCCCAAGGCCTTTCTTGTTTATGTTGCTCCACTGCCTGCCTTGACCCGGGTGCACTCTGACCTGCTTAATCCCAAAACTGCTTAATCCCAACTTCTGTTAGTGCAGCCTTGAAGGACTTTATCCCACTCTGAGTAGAAAGTATGTGGGCAATAGATTCTAGACAGAGAACTCCAAATATTTGTACCGACTTCACATATTGACTTTTGCCTCAGGAAGGTAGCAAAAACACACAATACGGTTTCTCTCTTCTCACCCTTGGTTCTGAATGCTTTAAAGAAGAGTTAAAATGACCTCCAAAGTGGGCATTAAAAAGGTCCAGGATTCATTTATTTACTTAGAATATTTTCACCCCCGTCTTTCTCCTTGACCCAAGGTGGCTTACATCATTAAAATACAATATTAAAAAGCTAAAAACAGCATGTATACAATACTAAAAAAGATTCAAGCAAATACCACCCTAAATACATAAAGAAAATAAACACCAAAAACAGATTCAAAGCAAGAAGGCATAACTCTCCATTAAAAAGGAGGAGGAGGAGTTTAAAGCATAAAAGACAAGGCAACTACAGCAACGAGGGCATATAATTCCCTGCACAACCCACTTGGCAAAAGACTTATCAACTCATCAGTGTCTATGTACCTTTCCTGTGAGGGAGGTTCCCCAGAGCTCTTGAGCAAATGTCACTTTAGGGCATGACTGAGACCAACTTCCGGATACTATTTTGAAAGATAACAAAAGGTTCTCTTTTGATGATGGTGGTGGAGAGGCAAACAAGCAGAGGTGGGAAAAATAGGAATGAACAAGATAACCCAAGGGCTTGTTGTGTTTTTTGTTTGGAAGGTGTATGACTATCTCACTCATTTCCCATTGCATTAGCACTGAACTGCATAAAGTACTACAACACCCCCATCAAATCATTAAAATCTGTCACTAAGATCCCTCACATCAAGAGGATGGTTCAGGAGGTAACTCTTATACATCACACCATGCAATGTGTGCCACAGCTAGAGTACCAAGTACTAGGCAACACAATATTTCATGCATGGGGGAAGGAGGAGTGCAATGCGGTATACACAGTGCTCTTATGAGTCACCAGGTAACATTGGATTTATGGTGATCCTAGCAGGGTTTTCAAAGTAAGTGAGATATTTAAGAAGTGATTTTTTCCTGTGTCACCCCCATTGCTGTGAGTTTCCATGGCCAAGAGAGAATCTGCACCCAGGTCTCCTGAGTCCTAAGATGCACTCTATCACATGGGGTATTCAGTACAGAAACCTAAGTATCCCATATTATAAAGATGGTATTGTATGCCACATAAGATTAAATTTCTGCACAATACAGCTTCAGATATTTTCATACACTGTGATCTCAGAGGCATGGACCTGAAGCCCTGTTGGTGGGAGCACAAAATTATAAAGAACTGTTGGGAAGAGATACAAGAAATCATTGCTAAAATAAGGGAAGGGGCGATGAAGATGTCTTTCCAGATGTTCTTGGACTCCAGTTCCCATCAGCTATAGCTAGCATAACCAAAGGTGAGGGGCCATGGGCAACACAGTCTAGCAACATCTGGAATTCAATGTGCTCCCTTCTCTGTAATGGGGTCTATGTTTCATAATCAGTATTTTTTTTTAAAAAAAAATGAGGGCTGGGCAATGCTTTCAAGAGTCTGTGGTCAATTTTGCCTTCCTTCAGATCTTGGAAGGCCGCCTGTGTTCTACAGCTGTCTCCTCCTGTCCCTTCCAAATGCATCCCCAAAGGCCTCCAAACTTGTATACAGAGCAAATTGTTCCCTCAGAGGATTCGGAGCCTGGAGGAGGATGACTTTTTTGCACTTCTGAAGCAAAATAAACGAGTTACTTTTTAAATAATTAGATACAAACAAAATAAAAGCAGCCTATATTGATATTCAGGTTGATCTTGTATCAAGGAGCAGAAAATACAAAAGAATATGCTTTTGATGCTGTCAGACACTATTTATGATCAAAGTGGAAACATTTAAAAAAGATGAAAATAAGAGGGGTACACGCACACACACAGAGACAGACACTATTTTCTATGGCCAAGTGGGGATTTGGACTCAGGTCTTCAGCGTCCTAGTCTGATACTCGTGTGCCAGAACATTATTTTAGACAGTGGTTTCTAAATAGATTTTTTTTAAATGTCTTTTTCATCTTGGAACCCTACATATTACGTGTACCACACTTCCCTGAGTGTTCTCCAGAACATAGAAACTACTCTCTTCAGGTACAACGACGTAGCCTTTTTGTTCTCCAACCTGGTATCCTCCAGAAGAACTGGGGGTGGGGGGGCACTAGGTTGGGAAAAGATGCATTATGTTAAGTCTGAAAAAGTAACAAGTGAAGTGGCTCACAGTAAAAGCAGAGGAAGAGACACACACTGTTTCTGTGCATTTGTCAAGATGATTTTGAAGCAATTACCCTAAGTGGTGAAGGATGACTTTGGATTTCCCTTTACTGCAATTTATGCATCTGGTAATAAAAGGAAAGGATACCCACTGTTGTATAGTGGATAGACTGACAGACTAGAACTCTGGAGACCAGAGTTCAAATCTCCACTTGCCCCTAGAAACTGACTGGGGTGTGTGGATCTGGTAAAAACACTCCGTAGATATCTCACCTACCTTGAAAGTCCTATGAGGGTTTCTACAAGTCAGTTCTGACTTGACAGCCCACGCCAACAACAACAAAAGGAGCAGGGCCAGGGGATACATGCAATCCCTGCAATGGAGAGGGAGAATCTGGCACTGTTGTATGGGATTCCCCTTGCCCTACACAAAAGAGATGAGTTTGTCTCTTGTTCTTTCCCTGGTTGGCCATTTGACTGTGCTTACAAGATTCCCTCTGGGAGAATGAAAATAACAACAACAAAGAAGGGTGGTTACAATCAAGAAAATATTCTATTATTTTCTTCTCTGTTAAAGGAGGATTTGAGTAGAATTCTGTCTTTCTCAAAACAGAGAGCTAACCAACAGGAGAATTTCAGAGTAATGCATGTCACGTAATGATCATAATATTATACAAAAGTTATGCCATGGGAAACCATTATTTATCCAAAATGAAAAAGTCATAAGATATTATTTGGTTCTTGAACTAATGCGTACCGACTACTTTATCTAAGATTTCTTTCTTTTCCTTTCTTTTTTCCTTTCCTTTCCTTTCTCTCTCTCTCTCCCCCTCTCCCTTTACTGTTCATGCTGAAACCATACTATGCTAAATAAGTGCTTGAATAAGTGCCTGGGAAATGGATTGTCCCTGAAATGTAAAAAAAAAATTTGATTTTTTCCCCTTGGTAATTATATACCACTTTCTCTTTTAAAAAAGAGAAAAAAAATCTAAAAACCATTTACTGTCCAAATCATGTTGTTAATGTTTACAAACCAGGAAATGTTGGCAGAAGGGGAGAGAAGGAAGATGGATGAACAGGGACTTGTGCAAGAGAACACAACACGGCAAACTCCCTTGTAAAACAATTAATGTTTTATTTCTGGGATGGTACCTGAAAGCTGCAGGCTATGTCCATAACGCAAACGATAAAAGAGATCCATGCAACAATAGAACTTTTATTTCATCAGTGTGTCAAGACTCTAGGACAAATACTGTAAGACAGAAAATGAAAGAAGGAAAACCCAAATGGAATGCATGATATCAAAGTTCCCCCAAACATGGTGGATTAGGCGAGTGCTGGGCTCAATACAGTACTAGCAAACTGCATTCTGTACTGACAAAATCAGGCCCATTTAGATTTCTTCAAACACAGGACAGTGAGAATCTGGCCCATATTTTCTAACTATGGTCATAACAAAACTGTATCTTAAGGTTTCCATGCCATTAAAACATGACACATGAGGCATCATCAATTTAGATTTCTTCAAACACAAGACAGTGAGAATCTGGCCCATATCTTCTATGATCATAACAAAACTGTTATCTTAAGGTTTCCCTGCCATTAAAACATGACACATGAGGCATCATTAAGGGACAGATCTTGCTTGGTTTGCCTAGTGTCTCCTCTCTATAATCAGATTCTTGAATTGTAGGTTTCAGGATTTCTACATCAGAAACCAGAGGCACATCCTGAGTCTGAGGAAATGCCACCAAAGACCAGGGGTCATTCACATGACAGTCGCTTGAAGGAAATATTTGATGAAGTCAAGAGTGACATCAATCATACCTGTCAACACCCAGCTAAGAAACAGGCAAAGCAAGAAAGCAGAGGCAGGGAAGGAAGCAATTTACAAGGTGCATCGTTATATCTCACAGCCAACAGCACTTAGTGCTTTGCTTCCCAGAGGCAATGGAATCTTTCACAGACAAAACAAGAGGAGAAGTTACTTCACCGAAGCAATGACAGTGCCTTCCTTTGGAGCAACATTAGTGGCAAGATGGACAGAGTTGGCCAAGAAAGAAATACTAACCAGCAGCAAAGAGCCCAAGACGTTTTGCTGCCTGAGCAGATCACACTCCTAAACCAGCCAAGATTGATAATTACTTATGTGTCATCACATCAATTCCAACTTACGGTGACCCTTTTCATGGTCTTCTAGGTACATAATACTCAGAAGTGGTTCATCACTCCCTTCTTCTGGGGCTGCCCTGGGGCTGTGAAGCTTGCCCAATAGTGCATAGGTTGGCACAGTGGGGAATCAAAACTCCCAACCTCACTATTTCTTCTAGACATTTTGATTACTTTGTGGCTCATGGACAACTTGGGAAAAAAGCCCTGACAATTGCTTTGTGTTTGACTGAAAAATGGTTAACAGATAGAAAAAAGGAGTCCTCTTCTGAGATTTTTCCCTTGTGTGGTGTCAGGGGAAAAAAGGCAGCTTCTGAGATTTTTCCCTTGCGTGGTGTCACTGTGAATGGTAGTGAACACACAAGGGTATTCTGTACACCATCTTGACCACTGACATTGATGTTGTCAACATTCAGGCTGCCCTTTGCTATATAAGGTTTGGCATCCTTTTTCTAGCTGGCAACATAGGCACAATATTGTGCAGCTGGCTGGCAAAGTAGGCACAATATTGTGCAGCAATATTGGGCCATTCTCTGGCATTTTGAATCATGGATACAGAAATACAATATCCTGCATTCATAATTCAGAGGTTTTATTTGAAGAATTGAATTTCTTGGCTTTTTGAGACAGAAGCTTAAGTATACACAGACTACACACAAATTCCAACACACACTTCCGTCATATGGAATTACCCAATGCTGGAGGATTCCAGAAGGTGATCACATGATCTGCAATATGATTTCTGGGAGAGGTCAGAACCAAGAATAGCTGGGATGTGGCTGCAGTGCTTCTGTGCCAAAATGTTTTGAGGGGCTGTTTTGGACTTAAAGAAGTGGTGAGGGTAACGTGTGAGGAGGTACAATACATACTATGGAGAAGCACACACACCCTTTAACCTCTTAGGTAAATTAATGTTGCCATGCCCACTCTGTAGAATGGAGACTAGAAAGCTATCTACCAATTTCCAAACCCTTGCTCTACAATCATGTTGCCTGCATTTTTCCCCAAAAGATGTCCCTGCAGTTTTTTAATTAAAAAAGGTGGAGTATTGGAAATGTGATATTTGAGGTGAACCTTACAGATACCACAGACTAGCAGAAAGGCAAATGAGTGGGTGCTCAATCAAGACAAGTCTGAACTCTCAGTAGAGTAAAAAATTGTTAAATTGAGGCTATCCTACTTTGCACATACTGTATAATGAAAATACAGAACTGACCAGAAAAGACAATATTCCTGGGAAAAGGGAGGGGTAGTAGGAAGAGAGGAAGATCTAATATGAGATAGATTGTTTCTATAAAGGAAACCACAGCTGTTAGTTTCCAAGACCTGATGAGAACCTACTGGAAAATACAATATTGCTAGGAAGGGGGATCAGTAGGAAGAGAGGATACATCACATGAGATGTTGTTGGTTTGCAAGGTCTGAGCAGAACTGTCAATGATACAAACATTGTATAGTGACAAGATGGGTGGAATGGAGACTATGATAGGAGATTATGACAGGAGACTACGACAGGATATAGGCACCAAAGTTACCAAGCAGTGCCATCCCCAGCACTTATGTGAAAACTTATGTGACGAGACTGTTTGGTCTCAGAAATCCTGAGAGAATGTTTACTGAAGATACATGGCAAAATATATCCCCTTCTTGGAAGACTGCCCACTACTTTCTTTAAAGCAAAACTGTTTTTTTAGAAAAAAAACTCTTCAAAGAAAACCTGTATTTTCTGTCTGTTTCTAAATATCTCTCTTCCTGCCCATACCTATGAATCTATACAATGTTGCAGTTTGAAAAGATCCTACTGGCAAACCTATACCATTCATGCCCGTCTTATAACAAAGTGGCTGTTTTTACCTTTTGAAAGGCCTTTTTTGAGGATCACCATCTCAGCCCCTGCGACCAGGCTTCTTTCCAATTAAAAAAGGTGGGTGGGAACAACTGTTCTCTCTCAAGATAACCAAGACTGGTCTTTTCAATTTATGTAATCCATTTTAAATCTGAGGACATTTAGGGTTGCCTGTTTCTGAACACAGGGTGGGACAGTTTTACTTTTAAAACACAATAACTCAAAAACCCTTGGCCTAAGTGGCCCCAAATTTGGCACAAGGCAGTAGCACCTGTGATGACCTAAAGCCTAGTTTCAAAGTTAAAGTTTTTGTTGTCCCCCCCATTTTTAGCATTGCCTCGTAGAATGCTTATTTTTTTTCTGCTAGCACAAAATCAATGCTGCACTTTCATGGCATAACAATTGTCTATGAAATGTAAAGAAAAAAACACCTTGTAAAGTGGCCATGAGAAGAAAAATGGGGCAAGAGGAACCATCTACGCTGTCTGGAAATCCTTGGAGGAAAAGTGGGACAAAAACATAAATAAGTCAGGCCAAGTACGAAATGCAACACCCAGATATCCAAGAGTGCTGCGGAAACAGCTTTCACTGGCAATTTAGACAATATAAAAAGTGGTCTGTAGGAACAGCCTATATATTAGCAAGTTCTGAGCCTAGAGATTTCAGATCCAAGTCCGCTCCCCCCCATGAGACTCAAAACCCACCTCAGGATGAGGGGCTTCAGGGTGTCCTCTAGAATAAAGTTCCTCCTCCTGCTTCCTCTCAAGCATTTTTAGAATGCACAAGGGCTATACTTACATTTATTTGTTTAATTTGTATACCGCCCCCTTAGTGCAATGCACCATAGTTCCTCAGTTTGGAGGAAAGACACTTGGTACATGCTGTGGGGTGGGGGGGTATTTTCTGTTTTGTTTTCATTTCAAGCCTTGCTGAGTTCAAGCAAGGAGGGCAATATAACCTTATTGTATTGCTTGGAGAAAAGAGCCACGGGCACAGATAAAGGACGACATGTTTAACTCTTTACAGAGGCAGGTCAAGGCTCAAGATGGTCCGGGAAGCAAGGAAGGGTTTCCAGGACCTACACCTCAAGCCACATGCCTTGACTTCCGATGTATTAAAAGCTGACAGCGCAGTTACCGCACGAACGGAGATGGAGGGAAGCGGCTCAGCATGTGCTGGATAGCTCTGCGGAGCCAAAGGTTGGGAGTTCGATCCCGCCTCCCGCCCCTCCGGGTGCCACCTTGACAGGGGATGGACTCGGTGATCCAGAGGGTCCCTTCCAGCTCTGCAGTTCGAGGGGGTGCTGAATCCTTGAGGCAACTGATCCCCCCTCCGCCCCCCGCCATTCAACTCAACTGCGGAAGGAGGAAAGGGAAATAAAGCAGCTCCGAGCTGGTTACCTGGGCTTCTTCCGGGCTCTGGAAGCGGCCGGGCGTTTTTATACCAGCCGCTCTTGGGTCGCCCGCTTCTCCTGAGGGACGGCCCGGGGCAGGCTGCCGAGTTCCACGGGACCCCCGGGCCGGGCAGCGGCTACAGTTCTCGAGGCCTTCGCTGGGGGTCCAAGGCTTTTCGTCAAGGAGGGCGCAGGCGCCGTCCAGGTCGCCGGCCGGCGGCGCTGGGACAAGCGCTCCGAGAGCTTGGCTGCCAGGCGGAGCAGGCTGGCTCGGCTACGGCTCGGGCTGGGACTCGGGCTGGGGCTGAGGCGGGTCCCGAGAGGCAGCTCTTTGCTCGGCACCCCGCCGAGGTTCCCCGAATACCAGAACAGCCAGCAGAGCAGCGACAGGAACAGCAGGAGCGACCCGGTCAGCACCAGGAAATCTTCGAAGGATTGCCCTTCCAGCGTCGGGTGCCCCACCGCGCCCACCAGCACCAGCACCAGCCCCACCGCATCCAGCGCCAGCGCGGCCACCAGGAAGACGGCGCAGTGGCCGTATCTAGCTGGGGCCATGCCCGCACTGGCGGAGCATCCGCGCGCCCGGGCGGGCAGGAGGCAGCAGCCAAAGTCCCCGGCCACGCCCGCTCAGGTACAGGTGGCGGGGCCACGCCCCTTCACCTGCCTGAAATCAAGACTAAACTCAAGTGCACGACGGGCCGCCTCCCCTCAGGGCAGAGACCAAGGGCCGGCGGGCGAGCGAGCGAGCGACTCATTCGGGGCGGGGAGGGAAGGAACTGCCTTCCCAGCGCCCAGCGCTACCATGGCCAGTCAGCGTTATCTCACCTTTCCTTCCCGGACTGTGCCGGTATTGTAAAATTTCTGTCCGGGCTGCAAACGCACTTGGGATACTGTATGTACACTCCTGGTCGCCCCGGTTTGCTGTGTGTCTGTTTCATGTATCTCTTCATTCGCTTCCTCCAAAAATCCTGAGAAGACTTGGGTTTCCTTTTTTCTTATAACAGAACCATGGAATAATTGAATTGGAAGAGGCCTATAAAACCATCGAATCCAACCCCCTGCTCTCTTAATCTGGGTAAACCCAATGGCTTGGGTTGCCCTTAACTTTTTCCAAGAAGATATTCATGGTTCCAAAAGTCAAGGGCAACTCAAGCCATCATGGTTTAGCCGGAGCTCCATATAAGAGGGTTTGGCCTTGGAATTGTCATCAGCCTTGATCCTGTGTAGATAATCTGTGGAAGGATTTATAATCCAAACCACCTGGAGAGCCAAACTTTTCCCTGCCCCTTTGACAGAGTCTATAAAATCGTGCATAATTTGAAGAAAGTAGATTGCTATTTTATTCCTCCTCACACAATAGTGGGTCATTTGATGAAACTATTGCTGGGGACTTTGGACAAAGAAAACAAGGAACTGCTGATTCTTCACACAGTCTCTAATGATCTTATGGGTCTGTGCCACAAGATGTGTTAATGACAGAGATGGCCACTATCGTAGACACTATCTTAGATACCTTTAAAAGGAAATGAGGTTAAATCAGACACGACAGGACTTTCAATGTGGGAAGCAGTGTGGTGAAATTTAGAGTAGGATTTGTGAGAAACCTGGGTTACATTCAGCCATAGAAACTCATGGTGGGGGCACGGGGGGAGGTGACAATGGTGAACCATCCTTGGAGCATCTGCCTTACATGAAAACCGTAAGCTGGAAACCACTCAGTGACACATAACAATAATAATAAGGCTTTCCGTGGCTGTTCATTGTGATAGCTCTATGGAAATTTCAGTATGGCCACTCCTCTCCTTGCCTGTTGTTGGTGAGGACTGGTCTTTTGTGGATGAGGGAAATGAATGTGAGAAGCCACATCTGTTGCCTTGGTGAAATGTAGGGACGCATGATATTAGATCATACTGGACCATACCGGATGAGGGATTTTACGGATTCTAGTTAAAATAAACAAAACACAATCATTCCAAATTATGAGGCCTGGTGGGACTGCTCTTCTGCTCTGCTGCTCCACCATCAGCAATCCAGGCACTCTATATAGTACTGTATATGTCCTAACTTTACTCTGACAATAGCTCTAAGAGGTGGGTTAGTTAGAGGAACCGTTATTAATTTAAATACACCTTATGAGAGGGGTCTCCTTGCTCTGTCTCCCTCATCTAAGCCTCTACCCAATACAATGACTAACCCCAAACAGAAGATTTAGTTTCTGTCTTTTCATTATTCTTCATTTGAAAGGGGAGGCAAGGGCTGGGGGAAAAGAAAAAAAAAGCAAACACATATTTATTATGCTTAGTTATCTACACAGTGAAGACAGTAGGCTGATTAATGGGCATGAATAAATGATGAATCCCTGTAACATCTTTTTATATACACCCTCAGAACTCATATCCTGCAGGAAACCTCTTTCACACCTCACTGATTCAGGAGGTGCCTTCTCAGGGTAACGCCTTCATGCGCTCCATATGAATTAATCCAGAATTACTGCCACTTCAGTACTAACACAAATCAGCCTTCACAGTCACCCATCAAGACTCAGCCAAAAGATGAGTATCCTCCCTCTGACATTCTATACAGCCCTTTTTATGAGTCAAATTACAGAGTGTTAAAGGATAGCTAATGTTTGTTAATTCATCTCCAGGACCTGCTTTTGTAGTCATTTTCATGTGTCCATCGCTTCTCTCAGCTGCTTGGTGGCGGTAACAAATGGCCAAACTAAACATGAAGTTAGTTATACAATCACAGCTATTAATTAATTAATTAATTAATTACCCTGCCTTTCTCCTTAAAAGGACCCAAGGCCTCTTATATCATTAAAAAAAGAAAACAAAGTTCACATAATTGTACTTTTTTAGTGTCAGCTGGAGACATACATCTACTGCTAGGACTGTTTTTCTTTTCAGCCTTCTATTTTAAGGTTTTCTCCAGAACAGCAAAACATTTGAAGATGGATGAGATAGACAACAGAAGCACTTGTCACAGGTTTCAGCAGAGAGGTCCCTCATCAGTACATGAATGGCTTGGCTTCCCCCTTGGGATTGTTTAGTGTTTTTTTTCAGTTTATGCTCAAGATATGATGCAGTTCAGCCCAGAACCCACAGATATCAAGTACCATGGTGTGGATTTCCCTGTATATGCCTTCATCCTGCTCATGAATAATACACTGATAATCCATCACAAGAGTCTTTGGAGGTCTTTGCTAACAAGAAAATACTTGTCAGTGATGGTCTGCAAGGCCTATACTTTGGTCTTCAGAGCTGTGATACATTTGGGCATATTCTCCAGAAGTGCCAGATCAAAATAGTTGGTCTCCTTGGTTTTGAGAATCAAGTGCTGAATCCAGGTTGCAACCAAGATACATTTCTCTTTGGACTCCCGGACTTCAGGTTTAACATGATTCAAAAGGGAAATGATGGCCTCGTTTCCCTTAAGGTAACCACATTTGGGAGCTCCCTTGTCCTCATTCTCAGTTTCCATCTCATCTTCTTTGGGGGGTGGGTGGGGTGGATACAGAATGGAGATATCCAAGGGAGCCCGGAGAGAAGCAAACTTTTGAAGGTTCATCCCATCTTCCCTCAGGAGCTGATCCAATGCGAAATCTGATCCAACTAACATATGTAGAGGATATTGGGTTGGGATCAAACATGGGCTGCAACATGCAGAATGTACAATCTGAGGTAGATTGAAAGCCATGGGGTCACAGGGCCAAACCAGTTGTTTTTACCTACTGATAAGTCACTTCCAACTTTTGGTGACCCTATGAATGAGAGATCTTCAAAATGCCCTGTCTTCAACAGCCCTAATCAGTTCTTGTAAACTAATATATTCTCGACGGCTTTCACAGCCGGGATCCAATGGTTGTTGTGGGTTTTCTGGGTTGTTTGGCCGTGTTCTGAGGGTTGTTCTTCCTAACATTTCACCAGTCTCTGTGGTCAGTTCTGACTCCTGTCCTCTGAAGATGCCGGCCACAGAGACTGGCAAAATGTTAGGAAGAAAAACCTTAAGAACACAGCCAAACAACCCGAAAAACCCACAACAACCATCTTGACAATTTTCTTTACAGAGTCAGTTCATCTCGTATTTGGTCTTCCTGTTTTCCTGCTGCCTTCCATCTTCCCCAGTATCATTTTTTCCCCACAGAAACCTGCCTTCTCATGATGTGCCCAAAATAGGACAGCCTTAATCTCACATGTTTGCCTCCAGAGATAATTCAGATTTGATTTGTGCCCAAAATAGGCACATGTTGTCTCCAGAGATAATTCAGGTTTGATTTGATCTAGGATCCACTTGTTTGTCTTTCTGGCCATTCAAGGAATCTGCAAAGCTCTCCTCCAGCATCACATTTCAAACAAATCATTTTTCCCCCTGTCAGCTTTTTTTACTGTCCAGCTTTCATGCCCATACCTGGTGATCTTGGTTTTGGTATTCAATGATACATCCTTACACTCCATGATCTTTTCTAATTCCTCCATTGCTGCCTTTCTGAATCTCAGTCTTCTTCTGATTTCTTGGCTGCAGTCTGAATTTGGGTTGATGATTGAACCAAGATAAACCAAATTGTTCACTATTTCAGTTTCTTCATTGTTGACATTAAATTTTTGTAGTTTTTGTGTAGTCATTTGGTCTTCAATGATACATCCTTACACTTCATGATCTTTTCTAATTCCTCCATTGCTGCCTTTCTGAATCTCAGTCTTCTTCTGATTTCTTGGCTGCAGTCTGAATTTGGGTTGATGATTGAACCAAGATAAACCAAATTGTTCACTATTTCAGTTTCTTCATTGTTGACATTAAATTTTTGTAGTTTTTGTGTAGTCATGGTTTTTTATCTTCTTACAGTTCAACTGCAACCCTGCTTTGACACTTTTGAGTTTGATTATCAATAAAAGTCATTTCATATTATTGCTGCTTTCTGCCAGTAAGGTAGTGTCATTTGTATGTCTTAAATCATAATTTTTCCATCAGTTTTCATTCTACCTTTTTCTGAATCTAGTCTGGCTTTCTGTGTTATATGTTCTGCATACAAATTGAACAGATAAGGGGATAAAATGCACCCTTGTCTGACACTTTTGCCTATAGGAAACCATTCTGTCTCTCCATATTCTGTTCTAATGCTAATTTTTTGTCCACAATTAGCACCTGGACAAACAAGTGCTGAGGCACATCTATTTCTTTCAGAATAACACATAGTTTTGCATGATCTACACACTCAAAGACTTTACTGTTGCCATAATGCATAGACTGGCCTTCTGAAATTCTTTCGTGCTCTCCAGTAACCAGCAGAAATTTCCAATATGACATCGAGTGTTTATTTTCAGAATCCAGATTGAACAGACTTTACTGTTGCCATAATGCATAGACTGGCCTTCTGAAATTCTTTGGTGCTCTCCAGTAACTAGCAGATATTTCCAATACAGTATGACATTGAGTGTTTATTTTCAGAATCCAGATTGAACATCAGGAATTTCTTGCTTCACATAAGATTAAAGCTTTTGTTGCAACACCTTCAGATTCACTTTGCTTCCATGGGAAATGAAACCAATGGTTTTATAGTTACTGCAGCCTTTGGCATCTGCTTTCTGGGACTGGAATTTATGTTGAATGTTTCCAGTCTGTAGGCCATTGTTTTGTTTTCCATATTTGTTGGCATATTCTTGTTAGGATTTTGACAGATCCAGTCTCTGTGGCTTGAAATATTTCTACAGTATTGGTATTCCACATTCCCCATGTGATTTATTTCTTCCTAGTGCTTTCAGAGCAGCTTTCATTTTATTTTCTAAACCTGCAAGTTTTTCATCATAGGATTCCTCTTCAAAGGAGTCTGTCATCTTTTTATTTCTTCTTTATAGATCTTCAGTAAACTATCTCCACATTCTCTTTATTATCTCCTGGTGAGATAGTGAGCTTCCCTGTTGATCATTTAGCATTCCTAT